TAATGATGAAATAACTTTAATTTTCTGGTTTTTGCAGGTTTCCCTCTTAAGGAAGTTCTACCTCTCACAAGTTTTACTATATTTTATACAGTAAATTCAATACTGATTGATTCAGCTGCTGAAGTCATCAACTGAGATATTACTCAAAATTTATTTTGTTTCACTTTCTTTACGAAACACCTTCCTTTCAGGTGATTTTTTTCAATCTTGGAAAATGTTTCTTTTATCATAGAAAATTCTTTGTGATAAAAGAAGTCAAAAAATTATTTTCTTTAATCAATTCACAAAATTTTCTGCCCAAGATGAGCTGCTAAATGTTATTTTTGCTCCAAATGTTTGATTTTCAACACCCAATTCAAACAGGTGCAAATTCATAAAGCTGTTATTCACCTAATAATAAACATGGTAAGTTAAACCTTTGCTGAATAGTCTCCTACTAGGCTACAAATTATGGTACTAGTGTTATCAATCCAACCAGCACTAAATGAGAAACACCGTGAAACTGCTTCAATTACATCAAGAATGGTGTCAGTTGAGAAATTTAATTACAATATATTCAATAATTAAACATTTTCTAACTAAATACAGTCAAACTGGGCTACTTCGAAGCTAAAGAGACTAATAAAATTTGAATTAGATAAGTATACAATAAGATAGAAAAAAGTTTCAATCTAAAAAGTTGTTTGTAGTTCATAAAACAAACATAACCTGACAATGGTGGCTTAGATCACTGAAAACATTTGTTATCCATACAAACTAGCAGATATTTGCCAGAGTTTTGGTATGTTAAATAAGTCTTAATATGGGAAGAAATCATTTTTGGAACAAATAATCAATAAAAACAACTTATTCAGACTTCTTATGTTATGTACAATGTAGCCTATTTACAAATTTTTAAAGAAATCCAGCAAAGAGTTGAATAACTCTCCTGGCAAAACACACACACACACATTAGCACAATATTAAAACTGATGTCATCTGTTACGAGATTTTGTTAAAAAGTAAGTTTTATATTATTAATTTGTAAAATTGTAAATGCTAACAACAAGTAAAATCTTCATTAAGTTTGATACTACTTGATATGACATGTGACCCCTTCTATCTCCCCGACATTTAATCACCAAAATTTAATAGCATCGATGCCTCTTATATACAAGTTACCATGCCAAATTTTGATTCTTAACCATTATCCCATCCTGAGAAATTAAATAAAATAAACCCACACAAACACATCTATGGAATTTTTTTCTCTTTTCAACTTTCTAGGTTCAGAAAGTCTCAAAAAGTGGAGATTTGAAAAAAACTCAGGTAGGTGTGAAATTTGACAATATTGCAATACTTTCCTGTATTATATATATAATAAGTTAGGAAAGTAAAAGTTTAAAATTTTCAATTGGTTTTATTAGCAGCTACATACATTGCTTATATTCTGCAGTTCAACAAATGTCATAGTTCCTGGATATGGTCTGTAGCCTGCATTGCAGATAGAACTAGTTTCTCAAGTTCTAGTTGTTTCCCTTCTTCATCTGAAGATGTACTATCATTTTTTTTTTTTTAGCACATCAGTCAAAATTATATAAGTTCTCCACAAACTGCTACATTATCATCCATGTTAAAGTCTAAAGAAATTCCCATACTTTGTCCCAAATCATCTCAATTATTCAACAGGCACAATCTCCTCAACATCTATATGTTCAGATTCAAAATGACAGAAGCCAGCTTTTCAAAACTGAGTATGGTCATGGGTTTCACTTGATCCCAAACATTGTTACACATCCACACAGCCTGTATCAGGTTAATCCTAACCTTATTGTTTTTGTTGATGTAAGTGCCTGATGGAATGTCCTGGACCCAAGACATTGGTAGTGGTGTTTTAAATTTTTAATCACTTCTTAATCCATTGGTTAAAGTATTGACATCATATTTGGGAGAAGAAATAATGTTTACATTTTCCATTGGAGGAATGGTGTTGTGTGCTATGCAGTTGTCAATGAACAACAAGATTTATAGTTTTGTTTTCCAAATTTTTTATTAATTTTTAAAAGCCATCTTTCAAAAATTGTAATTGTCATCCATGTTTTTGTGTTTGATATTCCACTGATTTAATTTTTAACATTTTTAGAGCATTATGGGTTGGCTGACTTCCCAATCAACAACAAAGGTAATTTTTCATACCCATCCATGTTTGCTCCAACTAAAAACATTATCCTTTCCTTGTTTACTGCTACTGCAATGCTCATGTTTGAAAGCCAATGTTTTGTCTGGGTGCACTTATAAAAGAGTCCAGTTTCATTAAAATTAAAAATGAAATGAAATTTGGTGTGTCTGTCTTGAATCCTTTTTGACAAATCACTATTCCATCTATCAGCCATCTGTACATCAACAGCTCTATTTTTCTCACAAGCCATTTTGAAAGAAATGCAACTTCTTTCCTTAAATCTATAACTACACAGTGTTGACTTTAAAACCATTCTTTCCTAGGTCATAAGTGAATTCTTCAGCTTAAGCTCTAAGGAGAGGTCCACTTATTGAATTTTTTTTTCTTTCTTGCCTGTTTAAACCATTTTAACATACACTTGACACCATCCATGTTTTCTGGTCCTCTTACTCTCTTCCTATCTGCCACTCTGCACACTATTCAAAATTTTATCCTTATTTTTTTAGATAGGTTGTCCACCTATCTATGTATTTGGTAGAATTCCAAGTCTTTTGTAATCTCAGATTTCTTTTTTTTATCCCTTTTCCATTTTATGTATAACTGGTATTTTTTTGGCAAAAGTTAATGTTTTGTATTGCATACACTTTGGTTTGACAAAGACATGATATTGAAACATGCAGAATCCAATAAAATTGCATAGTACACTTACAATAACAGCAATACACTTTACTGCTGTTATACACAATGAAATAACTCATCAACATTATATACAAAATCACAAAAACAGAAAAAAGATTGCAGCAAGAACTAACTTCTTCCCACGAATACAAGGCTAGACTGATCAGCCACAATGACAAGTGGAAAGACAATGCCAAACTTAGAAATATCTTTAATTCAGTAATAGTCTGTAATTCAGAAATTGTCATGTTTGTAATGATTTATTCAAATTAATCAAAAAAGTTTGAATTACGGTTTTTTCGCATGTTTTTAATACAGAAAAGGACCAAGGAAAATATTCAAATTAAACAAATCCGAATTAGCCTAGTTTGACTAGGTTGAAATTATCAAGTAACCAAAGACTAATTTAATGTATTTTATATTTGGATACAAATTATGTATAATTTATTGCAAATGATGTCAATTATTGTTAGGATATATTTGCTCTAGGTGTAATTAAGACTTGAACTTTATTAATGGAATGCAATCAGTATCATCCATTTTGAATTTCTATCACTTACAAGGGGACCTTACAGTTTCGGAAATTCAGTTAAGGGTGAGACTTTGCAGGTTAGTAGTATACCTCAAGGGTGTCCACCCAGAAGAATTGTAAAGCGCACTAGCCAGAAGATTCCGAGAAAAAAGGCTCTAAAGTTTTAAGCACAGCTCATATACTAATCAATTTTACACTGTACAGCAAAATGGCTGAGTCTGTAGCGAACTTGTTTGCCACTTGGGTGATCTAGGTTTGATCCAACCTTCGGAGAATTTTTTTATTTTTTGTTTTAAAAATTCTAACAAGTTCTCCGAAGGTTGGATCGAACCTAGATCGCCCGAGTGGCAAGCGAGTTTGCTACAGACTCAGCCATTTTGCTGTACTGCCACAGTGTAAAATTGATCAGTATATGAGCTGCGCTTAAAACTTTAGAGTCTTTTTTCTCGGAATCTTCTGGCTAGTGCGCTTTACAATTCTTCTGGGTGGACAACCTTGAGGTATACTACTAACCTGCAAAGTCTCACCCTTAACTGAATTTCTGAGACTGTAAGGTCCCCTTGTTAGAAAATAACACAAAAAAGTCTATTCAGCACAAATGTAGTGAGTTAATATCATTAAAAATGTGCTTATTCAGAATCATTCCAAATAATTATGGCATATAAGACAAGCTCAAGAACAGTGCCAACATTTCTATAAACATTATGATTCTTTTTTAGGTTGCAATTTATAAAATTTTAGACCTATAAATTCCCACTGTTGTTTGTCTGTCTGTCTGTCTTTCCTTAATCTTGAAAATGGTATTAGATAAATAAAATTCAAGACCAGATATGGAAAACTTAGGGGCAAGAGGCCCCAATTAACTATATATGAACTTCCAATGCAAACTGGAAGTCATGTTATTTCAATTAAAATATTTTCCCCTGAATGAAATTAGATAGATGACCGGCACTACTCCATTGCTTACGGAAAAATATGACGTACAAGGGCAAGACACTACAGTACTAATTTGAAGTGGAGAGCATTTATTTTAAATTAAATAAATTAAAAATATGATTAAAAATTGCAGCCCAGCATTATGACAATGTCACAATAAATAATTGTTTGTTGGTATTTCTTCTAGTATGGTACCTGAGACAAATGCCACTCTGCTTAATCTATCGGCATGGTCCTGTCTGTGTTAAGTGCAAAAATATTGTCTTCAAACAATGCAAAGGCTCACACAGAATACTAAAACCTTGATTGAAAAATTTTATCCCATTCTTCACATTCTCCAGATAGTGTAATATTTGGAGAATGTGAAGAATCTCCAATCACATATTCTAAGACAATCATGTGTGAAAATTTTAAATTCAAGAAATATCAAAAATAAACTATTAGTCTTCTATAAAAAAAATAATAATAATTTTGTAGAAACAGTATTTTATAGCTTTTTATTTCATTGAGAAAATCGTACTGAATTTGATAGTATTACTTTTGGTGTAAATGTTTAGTTTTATTCTTAAAAACTGCACAAAACTGTCACCTGACAAATATGCAATGAATCAAATTAATAACAGTAAATTGAATTATATTAAATATTTGTTATTACAGAAAATTAAAGAATTGAGGCAGAAAAAAACGTTTTCTTACATTTTCCTCGACAGTGTGCTTTAAATGCTTAGCTGTCTCCGAAACTGTTCGCCCAGCTTTATTAGCAACAGCAAATAAGAAACCTGTAAAATTAATTTGCATATAAGTTATTAAAATAATAAAAATCAAACTCTCAATTTCAACTACTAAGTTAAATAAAACAGTTGGCTTAAAGAACATTCTTCCAAAAGTAAGTATTCATTCATATACAATGAGTGATCAGTTAACGAACAGATCGGATAACGAACACTTTCGCGAAAGATTTTTATGTTCGGACAACGAACGCATGATCGGATAACGAACACCCCACAGAACAAACACAAGAAGCAGCGACGTAAAATAATGAATACCAATTGGTCTTCCCTTGTCTTCGGACAACAATTCGAAACTTTTCGGAGTGTGGGAGACGTCGACATCGACGCTCTAGCCGGTATATACCGATCAGATAGTATTCCTCCGAACTTTGAAACTCTCCCTCGTAATTCCAGCCTTTTATTTTTCTGACAAAACAATTCTTTTATGTATTTGCGAAACTGTCAAGTAGGCACTCGTTAAGTTTTGCGTCTGTTTTTCTTTTCGAAAGATGAGAGTATAATAGCAAAGGTAGAGAGTGGGCAGAAGATGCATAATGTTGCTGGGCAGTATGGTGTGAACGGGTCTACAGTAGGCCACAGTTCAATCATATTTAAGAAAAATACTGTATAATCGAGAAGACTCAAGCGGCTAAAGGAGTAACAAAAATCACATCTGAGAAATAAAGAACATCGAAGAGTTCATAATGGAACCTGAAACGGATCTGACAACAGAAGAATGCCAAGAACTCTTGAATGAAGAACACCAAGAAACTCGGCGAGATATGTTTTCTTCTGAAAAAGAGGATTAATGCCGATATCTGTTATTAAAGATCCTTTGAAGAAGTGGGAGGATGTCAGAACAACGGTCTTAGAATGGCATCCAAACCAGGTTGAGGCTTGGGGATTTCTACAATTGCAATGCTATTAATTACTTACGAAAAATCCTGAAGAAGAGAGAAAAGCAATCGACATTAGACAGATTCTTTAACCCTTTCAAACGGAAAAAACATGACTAATAAAAATGCAAGACTGTGTATGTATGTATTTTTATTATTACATATAAATAAACATAGTAAGAAAGTATATATTTTTTTTATTTTTGAGATTTCCAGAACAAATTAATTAAATTCCCATACAAACCTATAGTAAATCGATAATCGGTTAACGAACAATTTGGATAGCGAACAAAGTCTCGGAACGGATTATGTTCGTTAACCGATCACCCACTACAGATATTTTCTGATCGCTATAAATTACAACCTCAGAGCTAGAATAATCAGTCAGTAAATTCTGATTTTGAGATAATTAACAAAACCTTTTACACAATATTTCCCATATTTTCTTTATGGGCCTGCAATACAGATCCAAATAGAATTTGTTATTACAATTTGGATCTGTATTGTATTAGATAAAGCAGTTGCTTTTAAGCAAACTCCTCATGCTATGGCTATTATATCAAAACTGGACTTGGATTACTCTTGTTCCGAGATTGCCACAAAAACAGTATAATCAGTGATGATATTCAGCGGGTTCACACAGGTTCGGACGAACCCGTTGTTAACATTTTCAAAGTTTTCCGAACCTTGTTAAACACACACAACATTTCTCAGTGGTTTTGCTTCTTTTAAAAAATATATTAAAATATACGTATTATAATCTGTAACACTACTAAACTAGAGCCTTATACTCCGTTTGCCTTGGTGCAACCTCCCTCGACCATTTCAATCTCGACTGAAACGACGTTCAATTGCGATCGACACGAGAGTTCTTGAAACTAGATCCAGTCATAAGAGAGATCCCACAATCCCATGCGCGCAAGAAAATACAAGATGGCTGCGGAACATGTGTCGTAATAAAATATGTACAAAATAAACCATTTTGAACAATCTTTTTTATTATTTATATAAAAAAATATAGTTCTGGCATAAACAATTTTAACTGACTTAATTTTGCAAACACATCTTTTTTATTTATATGGGTATTTTAAGGTCAGTTTTTGCACTAATGTACCATTTAAGCAAAAAAAAAAAAATTGGTAAGGAAAATTTTCTATTATCGAACCCTTTGTTAAATATTTCGAATATCACCACATATATATATATTATACTCATACTGTTTATGTGTTTATTAGGTGTGTTCTCATATAATACATATATGTATTATATGAGAACACACCTAATCCTTGATTTATACAATATTCAAATTTCATAATTACCATTTAACAGGTAAAAAAAAAAATTGTTTCACACAACAGAATTTCAGTGTAACAATTTATACTTTAAAATTAAATACTGAAGAATATTTTAAAATCAAGTATTTTCATTAATTTTCACTAAAATGAATTAAGTAAGTCTGCTAATTACTACAATGTTGAAAATACAGCAGATTCTTGCTAATCTGGCCTTTCAATTATCTGACATACCCCATTATAATGTCTCTCTCTTATTTAAGTTTATTATTTTTTAAATACATATAATAAACTTGTAACATTAACTTTAATAATCAACTAAACTTTAAATTACTATATCCCTGTGCATAATTTCAAAATAACAAAATACAACTCCAAAAATAATTGGCATGGAAGGACAATACGCCATGTCATTCATTGCTTTTAGTCCTATACACTCAGTAATCTAACACTAATTCGACATTCCTCTGTGCAAGGAATGGCCAGATTAGCAAGTGTCTACTGTATTGGTGACATAATTGCAATTCACACATTCATGGAAACAGTATGTACAACCAGTGGTGCATTCAGGATTTAGTCTTGGGAAGAGCCAAGTTAAACAAATAAAAAATTTTTAAATGAAAATTCAATAAAATTACCATTTTATGAGACCGCTAATTCATTAGTAGTATAGAAATGAATGACACAACACAAATAAAAAAATATATTTTAATTAGGAAAAAGACTTTTGGAAAATTTTCTAGTGTTTTGTTTTTTTCCTTTTTCTTTGGGGATGCCATAGCCCCTTGGCCCCTGGGTGTATCACTGGTCACAATTTCACATCACATGCATAAAAATTAGCTGTATATCATAAAATTTATAAAAAAATTCAATAGAAATAATAACAAGCTTTGATAATGGATTTTAAACAACTTTATCAGAAAAGTGAAACTGTACATGTAGAGTAGAATCACACCTAAATGCAAAACTTTCCAGCAAAGAAACGCTTAACTTGAAGTTAAGCGTTTCTTTGCTGGAAAGTTTGCATTTAGATGTGATTCTCTACAATAATGGATTTCATTGACAAAAGACTGTTGATGTCTTCAATAAACTAGAAGAAAAAGCTTTGATCAATGAGGAAAGTGACAAGTGACAAAATTTTCAACTAAATGAAGAAGTGGAACATATTTTTTTTATTTATTACCAAGTTAAGAATTTCATTTTCACTTTCATTTTATAAAACTTAACTATTGTTTAATATGAGTCATGCTGAAGAGATAATGGTACAAAATTATGTAATATTTTATAAGATAACTAAGTATTCATAGAATTTATGCAAATATAAAGCACGGGCAAGCATTTGCAAGGATTATTTTTGAAATACAATTAACCATTAATTACTATTCCATGCACAGAAAGCTAGAAATTCTTTAAATAAGTTTCACAAAACCTTTTTACACATTTTCTAGCAGTTTTCTTTAGAGAACAAACTTCTTTGTTTGTTCTCTCAAAAAACTGCTAGAAAATGTATAAAAAGGTTTTGTGAAACTTATTTAAACTAATTACTGTCTTAATAAATAAAATTTGGTCTAAAAAAGGAAGGCAATTAAGCTGCAGATAAACAATTAGAAGTTAGTTAATTAATTTAGAAAATTAACAAAAACTGCTTGATTAAATTATCAAAAATTTAAAAAATTCCATAGAAAAGACTAAAATGTCTTCATTTTCATCATCTCAAATCACCAGGAACAACAGTCTCCATTACAGAGATGGCCTTTTATTAAAGACAACTTTATTATTATTTTATTAGATGACCTACACATCTGCAAAAACATGCAAAACAGTCTAAAAAGTTCACATGTGAATAGCCAACAATTATAAAAACTATAATTTCTTTTTAAAAAAATGGCTGACAAATTTACAATTTAAAAATTCTGTATTTCCAGTCATTTGACATGACAAAAATGAAAACATTTTAGTCTTTTCTACAGAATTTTTTAATGTGTAAATTCGTCTGCCATTTTTTTAAAAAGAAATTATCAAAAAATTTATTACAAAATATTTTCAACCTCGATTCAGGCAGTCTTCAACACACACAAATTCAGATTATGGTGCCAATTTCTACATATGTTCATAATTTAGAGAATTCTGGAAGAAAACATTGACTTACAGGATTACTCAACCTTGCATATTTGCTTACCATGAAGGTGCTTATCCACAACTACACAGTGAACAGAAGTTATAGGATTAAGTCTCTTTTTTTTCAGTGTTAAAGTTTACACATTTAAATTAAAGAAGAAAAGGCTACAAAGGCAAGTAACATACTGTAAAACATTTTAAATAAACAATTTATCCTCCAGCTTATCTTTTATTTTAAAGAAGAAATGGCTGCAAAAGCAAGCGAAACATATTTCACTTGCTTTTGCAGCCATTTCTTCTTTAAAATGTATAAAGCGCAAACTTTTTCTCTTTCCATTAATTATATGCGGTGCTTGACGTTCAACGTTTTAGAGAAGAAAACTTTGCCTGCAACCTCACTACTATATCAATCCTATACTTCAGGTAAACCTTTCTTCCAAAATTTTAGAAATAAATTAATTATTAAATTTGAAATTACTCTTAAAAGATGAATTGAATGCTTAGCCATTTATCTTCAGGCTAAATTCCATAATTTGACTGATTAATAATTAGCTTTCTGACCTAAAATAATATGCCTTTGAATGTCTGTTTAGGTAATAAAGTAGTGAGATAGTTTTGGTATTAATTAAACAAATGTTCACTATGCAGCTATCTTATTACCAGCACTCAAACAAGATTGAACTCCATTATTTGAATCTTCTAA